ACATCATCTCTGCACCTCATCAAGGTTTCTCAGAAGACTCCAGTGATGAGGATGACTACATGGCACCACTGGCACCTAAAAGTGAGGAAGGCTCTGTGTGCTGTGTTTGTGGAGAAAACATCCCCTTACTGAACAAACTGATAGAGCACTTCAAGACGCACACAGCTGAGGTGTATTGCCACCTGTGTCGGACAAAGTTTGGATGCGTTATGTCGCTGGCGATACACTTAAAAAATGCCCATCCAAGGCACAGTTTCATGTGTGGAATCTGCAGAACTCTCTTTAGGTGCACATGGCATCTGAATGGACATATGGAAAAGCATCTGAAAGATGCAATGGAGGTAAAACCTGTGGTTAAAATGGAACAGACAGAAGAAATCAGCATCAAAGAGAACATAAGATACACTGATATGAGAAAAGTAACCTTGAGGGATCATTCATATTGTGTCTCAGATCAAGTAGCTACAAATGACACTTGCAATGCCATCCAGAAACACATCGACAATGATACAAACTCCACAAATCAAGTGTCACACATCAAAACACAAACCGGAAGATGGCCTATTATTGACAAACAAAACGATACCTTGAGCTTTTCCTCATGCCCTTCGAATCTATCAGAGCAAGAGCATCTAAGCTTTAAACTGAAGGAAGAGAATGAGGATGAGGATGGGCTCAGAGAAACTGCAGCTTGTGAGGTGGCTGCAGAGGAGGAAACTGGACTGATGGAGGATGACGAAAGTACCGACACTGATGATGATGTCAACACTGACTCACTACCCCCTGGTGACACGGCGTACAACCCGGATGAGGACTTCAGCTCAGAACCTAATGACAGTGACTCAAGAAGCAGCTCCTACGGCCGTCACCAAAAGAGACGAAAGAAACAGACTCCCGACAGTAAAAGACCTGCAAATAGGAATCTAGAGTCAGTTGACATAGCTGAGAAATTTGGGTTTCAGTCCGATTCTCCCTTTTGCTGCTATGGCAAATTCGCTAATTTGGAGAAGCGCATCGATGATTGCAGGAACAAACTGAGGTTTGCTTGTTGTCTGTGCAGCATGGTTTGTGAGAATGAAGAGTTGCTGCTGAAGCACACGACTGAAAAACACCCCGCAGCTGGGTATATCTGTGCATACTGCCACAGTGTTTTTCCTAGACTGGACAGTTACAAAAATCATGTCTGTTTGAGAAGATTAACAGGCGGCATGAACTTGCCGGCCACCCTGGTAACCCAGTTACCTGTCGTGCCTTTATCCGGTCAAGTAAGACCTTCTGCTCCTGCTTTGTATGCCAATCAAAACCCCATTAAAATGATCAAAATAACTCCGGCAGTGAATAAAATTTCCCCAGCCCCTGATCCTCCACATTTGACGCTGCAGCAATTGCTTCAGACAACTCCTTTGGTTCCTGCTAAGGTGACAGATTTGGTTCCACAATTTGTGGCTGTGCCGCAAACTCTTATCAGGCCCCATTTCCCTCAAAGTTCTTGTGTCGCTCGTCCGAAAGTTCCTGTCCATATACCTTCAGTAGTGCGTCCCTTGATGCCGAATCTGGCCAGGATGACTCTTCGTATCCCTACCCCTTCCAATCCACCTTTTCCAAGTCAAGTCGTCGTATCCTTCTCCCCCACAGTGAACGTCTCAGCACCCTGTCTAGTTTCAGCCAACAGGCCTGTTCTGAGACAAACGCCTCCGGCTAATATTAGACCCCTACCTGTAAACGTCCCGCTGATGACCTCAGTCACTTGTCCCACCCTGGTCAGTGCTCTTACTGACCACAACCAGCCACAGATCCCTCCTGCCCAGGTTCAGGCTCCGTTACAAATAGTGGCCATGTTTGTGAACCAAAGCAGGGATTTGGCTCTGCAGAAGCGACCCGAGCAGAGCTGGCGGTCCAAGACCATCTTCCCCTGCCGCCACTGTGGTGCCGTCTCAAGACAACTGTCGCTGAAGGTGCGTCACCGCTACTTACACCGTGGGTCAAGGTTGTACAGATGTCAGTGCAGAAGGTCGTTCCAAAGGCAGCTGCATTTGCTGAGACACCAGGTCCAGCATGCGGAGTCAGTCCGATTTGTTTGTGCACGGTGCGGAAATACATTCGAAGGGGCGCATAAATTGACCTGCCACAAACAGAAGCATAGAAATGGCAGGTGGTGTGTGAAGAAGAAATGCAAGGCGGCTTTTGACTGTAGCTGTGGACAGATGTTTACAAGGCCATCTGCACTGTTGTGGCATATGCTTAAAAACTCGAAACCTTCAAAACACACTCGAAAAAACTCACAGTCTGTCTCTGTTTGAATTGTTTGTGTAAATGAGACACACATAAGATTGAAAACTCACCTTTCAATCAACTGCAAATTGTTTTTTTTTGTCTTTGGCCCTAATTGATCTTTCTGTATTATTATGTGGTCAACAGTAGTGTATCTGATTTTTTTTTTTCCAAATCCATAATAGCACAAACAGTAAGATTTTAACCCTTTAAAGATAAGTTTTGTATCAGAAGAAATGTGATGTGAGCACTGGTATAATTTATCTTTATAATTTTTTTTTCTTTGTCATAAGATGGATGTGACTACTGAAAGAATGCTTAGTGAGAGTATAAGTATTTAAGCAAGCTCTCATTTATTAATGACCAAAAACACACTTTTTAAAATTTTTTATAGGGGTTTTGTGTTGTAAGGCAATGATTCATTCTAACCCATTTGTAATAAACAATTGTACATAAATACTCAGAGAAATGTTCTGTTTTTTAAAGCGTTCTCGTCATCATGTAGTTGGGAAAACACAAAATGATGTTAACATGAGATGGCTTTATTAAAATGTGCAAAATTAATGCTGTAAACGTTTTTCCGTCATTTTCTCCTGCCATTTTTTTATGTATATTTCACAATACAACATGCAAAACTGAATTCCTGATCAACTTATCTTGATTCTAAAGCGATAAAAAATTTTCTGGTTTGCTTCACTATGTTCCTGGATTAACAGCAGCAGTTAATGATTGGTGAAATAATGAGTCGTGTGCCATTCATATGCTTCCCTCATACCAGCAGTTTCAAATATGCAAAGACAGCAGTAAAACTAAGACAAAGTTCCTGTTTGTTTATAAAAAAAACTACATACAACAGACCTGACCTCTTTTCTTATTCCCATTGCCCTCATATAATCATTATACTGCACCAACATCTAGGTATTGAGTCTATTTTGAAATTATTCATCGCAAACGATACAGGACAAGCACAGTCTTAAAGGGGTCATATGATGCGATTTCAATTTTTCCTTTCTCTTTGGAGTGTTACAAGCTCTTGGTGCATAAAGAAGATCTGTAAAGTTGCAAAGACTAAAGTCTCAAATCCAAAGAGATATTCTTTATACAAGTTAAGCGTCAACCACGCCTACCTACATGTCTACGTCACGATGTGGGAAAATTTGCATAACGCCGCCCAAATGTTAACGCAAAGAAAGAAGGAGTAACTTTTATTCTCGCTGTAATATTGAAAAGTGAAAAGTGAAAAAGTGAAAAGTGACGTGACATGTGGCCAAGTATGGTGACCCATACTCGTTTTTAATGTTTTTGTCTCGTCGCTCCGGCCTGACAGGGCATCATTACAGTATGGTAGGGGCGTAACATTTCCGTCACATGCTTGAGGTATTCGGCCAATCATAACGCACTGGATAGCTAGGCAATCACAGCACACCTTGCTTTTCAGACCGATGAGCTTTGTAAAAATCGACGCGTTTCAGAAAGGCGGGGCATAGAGGAGAAACAATAATGTACAGTATGTGGAAAATAATGTGTTTTTTGGACCTTAAACCGCATAAACACATTTCATTACACCAAATACACCAAATAATGTTCTTTTTAGCAACATCATATGACCCCTTTAACAGGAATGATGGCCAAACATGCAACACATACTTTTGTCCACCAGGAGGAGATAATAGAGAGGACTGACAGCCTCTGTCTTAATGAACTTAACTACAGGCTTGAGCAATAAAGATTTTTCTATTACACCAGTATTCTGAATACCATACTACGCAAAACCTTTTAATGGGGTAATTAGAGCCGCCACATGCCGTCATTCAACAGATGCCCTGTCAGGTTAAAGGGCTGATGGAAATTCAAGTCATTCCCAGATTTTTTTATTAGGGTGCTGTGGGTGCAGGTGGTTCTGCCTCAATTAAGGTTGTTCTAAAAATATCCGTGTACAAGGGCAATAGTCTGTGAGGAAGTCTGGCTTATCCTTGATACCTAACGACAATTTATCTGACTTACCTTTGAAAAAGTTGCCAGCAAGTTACAGAGACGTTCATCAATGTGTCATTACCAGGTTGTACGCACATAACTGAAAAATAGTGTATCAAATTAGAGTCATAAAGTTATTATCAAGTTGCTCAGAATGATTCATACTTCTCAATTCTGAGATGAACTTCTGAGAAAAGGTGTTTTCTTCAGTTTGATTAAGACTAACTTCCCCAGTCTCATTAAGGAACAGGAACTATAGAAAGACTGATCTTTTTTTTCCACATTTTTTCAGTTTCACGTTCCTTCTGTGACTTTCACACTGATATAAATCACAGTGAGATTGAGTTACAAGTAATCTAAATTTGCTCTTTAGCGTAACACCAGAATCTCCATCTCATAGTTTCGGTATCAATCATAAACTGAAACTCAAAATTAGAAGTCAAAAGTTTAAAATAACCAAAATAACCTTTTCATAAGTTCAAGTTTGTAGCATTGAGGAAGCGTTCATAAATACACACGACAGAACGTCTGTTCAAAATAAAACGATGTCTGCTATGGTTGTTGCTGCTCTTAATCCTTTTGAAGTTCATCATAAAGTTCCCCCATCAGTTCAAGAGGCTTGATTGAAGAACACTCAGAAGATGAAGTCTATATTAGCCTTCAAGAGAGATGTCACAGGTCACCTGTATAGAAATAGATCCAGACTTTTATAAACCTACTCGATTAGGTCAAGCACATAAAGACTTTTGACAGTATTACCTGTGGTCCAGTCTGCGGCGATGTAGCGCCTGTGTGAGCAGCTCAGAGGTGATTTGGAAGGAGCGTCCCAGCTCGTCCAGCTTCTGCTCCATAGAGATGATTCGCTGCTCAAGCTCATGGTAAGAGCTGTTCCAGTTTGCACTCAGATCACACATGATCATCTGCATCTGTTTGAAGACAAAGGCCATTTTTCGTGAGTGTATTTCCACCCCCCATATTAATCATATCAGTATCATAAGACATTCAAAGTTTGGTCATATTTCTCACTCAAGATATTTAGGAGATATAGCTTCTGAAACATCAAGGTCTTGTTTTTCTTTTTATGTGCACAGCTGTAAGTATCACACAAGATGCTGTCAGACTTAAGGTAGTTTTTACAGAGATTTTTATGGTTTCACTGAACATTTCTATGTCTGGGTTAGGCGAATGCCTCTTTTTTCAGGCAAACGGACCTAGACACGAGTCTGATGTATGTCTGAATTACCTTCGAGAGATCCACCATCTCACTGGCAAAATCCCTTAACTTCCTCTGCTTCAATCGCAGATGACGAAATCTAGTCGAGACAGGAAAAAAAAATGCATTACATTCTGGTACAGTGGTTTTAACAGAACTCTAGTCAGCTTGCACTCTAAAAAATGCTGGGTTGTTTCAACCCAACTTTGGGTCAAATATGGACTAACCCAACTGTTGGGTTACATTTTTACATTAAATTTTTAACCCAAAAGTTGGGTTAGTCCAAATTTGACCCAAAGTTGGGTTGAAATAACCCAGCATTTTTTAGAGTGTGGTTTCTCTTATATGTTGGAGATGTCAGTCTTTAGATAACCCAGAATGCAAAAAAAAAAAAAAAGATTAAAATTACTACAGGTGTGGTTTTTGTGGAATATTTTCCCCCAATAATCCTTTAATTACTTAATATTCCATGTAGTCTTCCTAAATCTCACATAAATCAGCAATGTCAATTATATGTGCTGGCCATAGGTTCATAAAAATTATACTTTTAGCAACTGTTCTTAATGGGTGTCAAAACAGTGTTATTTTAGTATAATTAGATAATATTATAGTACTTATTAAATTTGAATTAGCTTTTCATTTTAATTTTAGTTTAAGGTTTGTTAATTTTGTTACATGCTTTTGTCATTTAGTTTTTTTTTTTTTTTTTTTAATGTTTAACTTGTTTTTATTACAGTTTTGCTGTTAAAAATTTTAGTACTCTTATTTTATTTCAGTTAGTTGCCAAGGCAACATTTCTCATTTTTATTTAAGATTTTAATTTGAAGTTTTTCAATGAATATTTATTTTATTTCACTTTATTTTAATCAACAATTACATTTTAAATAGTTTTAGTTTTACAATAACAATATTGGGTCAAAATGACCTCTATGCATTTCTCAGAATCTTGACTGGTATTTTTTGACAAGTTTTGTCTAGAGTAATATTTAGTTCATTGACACTGTATTTGTCAGAAATGTGATTTGTGACTGATTATAGATATTATTATTATTTTTTTTTTTTTGTAATTATCATTTTTTTAGCTTTTTCAAAAAAGTGATTTTATCACTGGATAGGCCTCTTTTGTACATCCATGCGTGCAAACACTTCTCACATAGACATACATAAATTCTATTTATAATTAGTTCAACTGAATTTATTTATTGGTAATGAACAAATGAATATTATTGAAACATTTTTGCATTCATGTAGGCTTTTAGGGTCATTTCAGGGTTAATTTCAGAATTTTTGCTTTATTTTGTGACCTCTCGTAATGAAAGTTTAGGCAGTACATTTGTGTATTTTTTGCAGTAGGCCTAGTTGCAGATGTCTCTGAATATATATGTTGTGTCCCAAAAAAGCAAAACGGAAGCCGGTTATTGCAGGGAAATTATCAGCAACTGCTGAAGCATGCAGAAATGACCAGTGTCCATGTGTCATGGGAGCAAAAATGGAACAGACCGAAAATCACAAACCAGAATGACCTCCTAACTATTTGGCGGTCTGCTTGCTGGCATGCTGTTTTAGCTGTCACTGCGGCACCCACTTTCTTTCCAGAGTATTTTTGGTGGTTCTGCTAACTGTAAAACAGGAAGTCAGAATCCCTCCACCCTTACGGCCATCCACGGCTACTCACGGATCTCATACATGCACACATGGAACATTCTAAGAGCCAGATTCCTGTAGTCATTAACAATGTTAAATGCTGCTGTGTAAATTCACACATCGCCGCTTCCTATTCTCACTGGTCATAAAGGAACTGCAGCCAAAGAGGGCAGCCAGCTGAGCCGCTCTCCCTAAAATCAGCCCCTTATCTGCAGGAAGATGTCAGGACTTACTGTAAACAATATAGCGGTCAACAATCAGCTGAGAGATGGGGAAACTGCCATTCTCGCAATGACCACAAAATAAACAATCACAAGACCACATTTTCTCCAAGCTGCTTCGCACTGCATAAAGTGACCTCTGTGGAACTGACAAGTCATGAAGGATTTTATAGAAAATGACCAAGTGGAATATGATCAGTGTCCTATCACCATGTGCTTAAATAATAAAATATTCCAGGTGATGGGCCAGATGTTTAATTGGTTAACTGTTGCATGAGTTTGCTCATTGTCATATCTAATGTTTAATTTATATATTAAACAAATTAAAGATTTTCTCTAAACATATTTATTTACAGGAAATGGCATTGATGAGCTGCTTGAGGTAAAGTTAGCATCTGAATGTGTACTTTATCATACATATAAGTTTATACCTGAAAAAAAAGTCCACATATGGCATTAAAAATCATCTATTCCTCTAAAGTCCAATATAAAAAATTCCATAAAATCTGCATAAAATACATATTTTATCTAAAAATATATATGAAACTTTTATTAAATATTTTAATTTAAAAAAAAAAAAATTTTTAATATATATATAGTTTAGTCATGAAACTCTAGATGGCGCAGGCTGATGTTTTGTTAACGTAACTGATGATATTCAGAGAGTTAAACGACTTGGCACAAGCTGATTGGTT